ACATTGGTTGTCAGATCCAACCAGTCAGACAAGTAAGCATTATAATCTATAATACAATTTCCAAAACTACAAATTTATTAATATTTAAAATATTATAAAACTTATACATTAAATACATTTTAATTAAAAACATACGCGTAGAATGGTAATAGGGATAAAGAAGCCATGGCCTCTTGAGATATATTTTTTTTAGTTAGATTTTTRAATGTATTATGTTGTGTAATCGAATCATTATAAACTATACCCCCGGATTTTTCCCCACATAAATTAATCAAGCCTATGCCTAAAAATAAACAATAATATATTGTAATTTTGTATTTTAGCTTATTGGCGTTACTAGTTTTATTGATTGTTCCGCGTTGTACGGTTCAGATGCTGTTACAGCAAAAAGTTTACGTACACTTATGAATGGTAAGCTCAAAACACAGACTGGACCTAACGGAAAATCATACTTATCAAATGTCAAAAAACCAACACAGTCATGCAACGTCCCTGCAGATAATTCGGCTTGCTATGCTTCAGGTAATTCAAATTCATATGTTCGTTAAACTATTTGAGGTTTTTTTTTAAATTTGTGAATTTTTAAAACAATAAAATCAGTTKTATTCGTCTTGAATTTAGTTTAAAAWCCTTTTCACTGATAAGTCATGATATAGATTATCATTTAGGCGGGTAGGAACTAACAAAAAACAAATTAMTTAATAAATCGTAATGGAATCTTTGAAAAAATCACTTAAATAGCTCGGTATTAACAGCTAAATCAAGTTGTGTAGTTGAAAATTAAATATGTTTATATTATAATAATTGTGCCAATTAAACAMTTAATGTGTATAGTAACGTGTATTATTTTAGTTTTAGTTTTCTCTTCAAAATATTAAGCGATATGTTTCTAAATTACAAAATGTAATCTTTAAAATTGCAGGCATTTTTATGAATTAATATATTAATAAATTATAATAACCTCGTTTCTAAATAGGCTGTTTAACATATCAAAAACAAATATAATTCTTTAACTTCGTGCACTGTTAAAAATCATTAAAACAATAATTGTAGCTACAAAATATGAGACATATTAAAACTATTAAAGTATACCTATAAATCAACTAAAACATTAAGTAATAATTAAATAATTATCAATAACATACTTTTGACTAACCAAAAAGTGCAATGGTTCTTATCGAATAAATATGTATCAGTTATTCACATTCCAACATTATTTCACAGATTGTTTTTTTTTTTTCAAAATTGAATCCAGTATTACTATTTTGTCCACATAACTATATCATACATCAGAATATTACTTATGGGTTTACTGACAAAATAATATGCATTGAGTGACATTTTTCAATAAAAATACATGTTTTATTCAAATCTTTGAATCTATTCCTAATATAAAATTGTTAATAAATGTATCTTATTAAATTCTAATATATTCAACTGTATTAATAATCATTGTTTGAATTTTTCATTGGTTTCAGGAGACTCAAGAGTTAACCAACATCCCAATATGGCAGTAAATACAATTTCCTTAATGAGACTACATAACTTACTGTGTGATGAGTTCAAAAAATTAAACCCAACATGGAACGATGAAAAAATATACCACCAAGCAAGGAGATTAGTTATTGCAATGTATCAGCATGTTACATACAATGAATTTTTGCCGGTGATTTTGGGTGGGTGCTGAATACTATTATTTTTTGTGTTTGATTTTCAATAGTAAAATAAACAACTATTATAGAGTTATATGTATAGGTACTGTACACTATACATTAAATACTCGACATAATAACATGCGTATAATATATTGTTATTATTATATTATTATTTTAATAATTACAGGCCGAGATTATTGCAAAGCAAATAATTTACTRCCGTTAAGTGATGGCTTTGACAATAATTATGACGCATTCTTAAACCCGACTACATTTACTAGTTTTACCGCTGCTGCGTATAGAGGTCTCCACAGTTATATACAAGGGTCTATGGAGTAATGAAATTACTTAATCATAACAGCATTGTTCTATAGAAACCTATTTCAATTGTATTAATAATATGATTTATTTTACAGTTTAGTTAGTGAATCTAGACAAACCACATCAAAGTTACGTCTAAGTGATATTTTTTTGAGATCTGACATTGTACAAGATAAAGACAATTATGATAGTCTCATCAGAGGAATGCTAACTCAACACGCACAGGGACAAGATCAATTTTTTACTAAAGAGGTGTTTTATTTCGGTTTTGATTACAGAAATTGTTATAATTATTGTATTAATCGTAGAAAAAAATATAATATTATTTTTAAACAATAAATATTTCAATTGTTTWATCCAGATCACTGAATTCCTATTCAAAAGCTTTAACAAAACGGACGGTTCTGACTTGATTACCTTAGACATAGAACGCGGCCGAGATTTCGGTGAACCCTCGTATAATAAATTCAGGCAACTGTGCGGATTGAGAGCAGCCAGAACATTTGGTGACTTTACCGATCAAATTAGTAAAAAAGTAATGACTTAAGAGTGCGCAACACCCGTATTTGTTTCTCAGTCTTACAAACGCGTAGCATAACAAATTTACGCTCATCAGTTCACGTTTTACTCCGTTACCTTAAAAACTAGAGTGAATAGACCTATTATGAAACTTAATAGTAAGAACATTATCTGTGTTTTGTTGGAAGTATTTTTACGATAATTCAGTTTTTAAGTGAGTTATGAGAATTTTTATTATACACCCATAACCAGTGGCGTGCGCAGGGGGGATGATGGGAGATATATCCCCCCCATGGGCTTTTTTTTAGCCTTCTAACGAGTGGATTTTGGATCTCTAGTTCATCAACATAAACATAATACATTTTTATTTATGACATCCCCCCCCCATACCAAATTCCTGCGCACGCCACTGCCTATAACACACTTAAAAACTGAATTATCGTAAAAAAAACTTCGGAAAAAACACAGATAATGTTCTTACCATCAAGTTTTATAATAGTTTTATTCACTTTAATTTTTGAGCCAACGCAGTAAACCRTGAAAATCTGAGAGTAAATTTGCTACGTTACGCGTTTGTCAGGTTGAAACAACAAATGCGGGTGTTGCGCCCTCTTAATACTTTTATAAATAAATCATAAATGCATCGCATACCTACGTTCTTGTTTATCAACAATATTTTATAAATTTAAAAATGTTATGTAGAACGTGGACGCTTTAGCTAGCATATACGAACATGTGAACGATGTTGACTATTACGCAGCTGGTATTTTAGAAAAACAAAAACCTGGATCCATATTTGGGCACACATTCCAATGCGTTATCGGTGAAATGTTTTTCAGATGGAAATTTGGTGACAGATTTTATTATGAATTTGGAAATCAACCTGGTTCTTTTACCTTAGGTAGGTAACGTTGACGGTTATACAATTTAAGAATTTAAGTACAGTAGTACGTTTTTATATTCATTATAACTTTACTGTTTGATATATRWATATTTTTAATTAATATTATTGTACCTAATTGAAAAAGGCCAACTTAAAGAAATACGAAAAACGACATTGGCTTTCATAATGTGTGTGACGTCAGACATTCGTTTCATACAACGAAATGCATTCGATGTACCCAGTAGTCGGTGAGTATCTACTTTCAAATTTTATTATTTACAATTTAAATCGCTTCCAMATAAATTTTTACAATACATATACGCATACACAGGTATTTTAACAGTTTTATCTTACAAATGTTTATTATATTTTTCATTATGTATTTAAATATAAGAATAAAATATCGTATTACTGTTTAAATGCTTAATACCCAAAATCATATTAGGTATACACTTTTAAAAGTGTTAATTGATTTAATAACGTTATTATTATAATCCKTGCGAATACCATTATTAATGAAAAATTGTTAAGTGTTTTTTACTCGATTCATAAAATATACAAATAATYAATTGTTTTTTTTTTCAGTAAYCCATTGGTATCTTGTAACTCAATAACAAAAATAAATTTGGCTCCATGGATAGATAAATAATGGGATCATTCGTCAATTACTTCAGTTATAAATATTTATAGATTATATACTTATTATCTCATATGTAACTAATAAATAAAATAGTATAATCTATATTTATTATTAGATATAGGTACATTGGCGTAGTATTAGAAGTTAGAGCGAAATATAGTAACACTAGTACTACGCGTAATTAAAATTAAAAAAATTTTTTTATCATATTTGTATACTTTTTAAGTGTAAAGAATATTAAAAACTAAATGTTTGATAATYATTTGAATCTAATACAAAAATAATAACTTTAATTATACACGATACATTATTATAATTACGTGGGTCTAGAATAAAAAGGTTTTAAATCGTTTTTATGAAATTGTCCAGGAAAGCAATTTTAAGATTTGAGTTTAAATATTTAACTCCTTGATCAACATATTTTTAAAATTAAAGTTCTGAGCCATTCAGTAACTTGTATAGTTTAACTCACAACATTATTATAATAATAGAATTGTTTGGTACAAAATTTAATAAAATAAAAATTATAAATTGCATTATAGTATCAAAAGGTTCTACAATTAGTACGTTTTCATCCTAAAATAAAAAAATATATATTTAATTATAACTTTTTCATTATTATTTATTATTTTTATTTGTGTTAGCTCAATCCTTTTCCGAATAATGTAATAATATTATGCAACATCAAAATCTGCATACCTCTCGATTGTAAAATTCTGTTGAATATGGACAAATGTTATTAATAATTATTAGGTAGGTACTGCTTAGTGCTTAGTATAATATTTATTAATTTATAGATTGTATATTTGTATCATTAACTTATAAGTAAATTGAAAGGGAAAATGTAGGACATTTTGATCTTTAATTTTATTTAATATTTCAATTCCATTAGATATATAAGTACATAATTTGTAACAATTAGATAATTTTAAAAACTACTCCAAGTATATGGGAAAGTTCTTACTTAATTAGTTATGAATAAAGCTAGAATTTAATTTGCTTTGGCATATTTCAATATTGTATCTACATAAATGTACATATAATGTTCAATACAGAGTATGCGAATTGGTACACATCGTGCGTAATGGAAACACATGAATATAATTTTACCCAAATGATTAAACAAATAAAAATGCAGTCCTTTATAAAAAATATTTAGAATGAGGGATACTCCAATTAATTATTTAATGCATATATCACTAGGCAGTTTAAAAATGGTTTTGATTAAAAAATTCAGGCATAAAGTTGTATTAGAATTGTTGAAATTTTTTAATGTAAGTTAATTGTATGGGTCATTAAATTAAGTAAGTTATTGTTTGATTATATTAGTAATAAACTTATAAATTAATTTTGTTGAAAACATTTTCAAACAATATAATAATCTAAAAATAATAATTAACCCTTTAAAATTAAATACTTATCCAGATTTAAAATTATTCTCTTAGTTACTAGCAAATGTTTCCAATTAAAAACAAAATAAAATTAATCTTTATGAACATTAAAAATTGTGTATAAAGAATCTACCAAAGGATCAACATACATTTTTATTGCTAACATATCTAGTATATTTGAGTATATGATTATGGTACACAAATAGTCAACAAAATAAATAGGATAAAAATAATTTGAAACTTTATTTATATAATTGTAATTTACCACAGACAATAAAATAATTTCAGCACTAGAAAAAAATAATAACGTTTAACCCTCAATTCAAAATAATAAAATTACAATATGGTATTTAGGAGGTAGTTAAATAAAAACTCAATAAAAAAATTCAAAGAAAAAAACTTGAAACTTAATATTATAAATTGTACATTTTCTTAAATACAAGGATTTGACAACAGCCTTTAACTCTTAGTAGTATTAAATATGAATAAAATAAACATAACATAATGATATTAAAATAAAAATAAAAATGCAAACAGGAAATAACTTTTAACCCTAGAATCGACACATGTATAATAACAATTTGTAGAATTATTTTTCAAAGTTTGAATTTTGATAATATTGTTGTGTAGYACAGTTAATCGATATCAGACATAAACTTGTATAAAGATTCAACATCTGCAATTTTTTCTAGAGTTACTTCTTTATTAAAGCCTTCACCTGCCTCGAGAGGATTAATAAACAAATTTTTTTCAAAACTAATTGAATGTGTAACTATGGACACRSCAGATGATAAAAATTTAAACCATCTTTGATTAAAACAATTATAAYAGTGTCACGTTATTTTAAAATAAATTATTGTTAAACGTTCATCAATTAAATCATAAGCAACTTTCTGAGGAGATAAACTTATTTTTTATAGCCCATAAAATCTCGTAATTCATTTATACTTTCAATATCATTTTTTGAGTCTATAATGTTGTGAAGTAAACTAGGAATACAAAAATCGAATAATTTTTAAATATACTTTAAAAATATAAAAATTAATAAAAGCAAAAAAATTGATTTTTGTAATAGAAATATTGAACGTTATCTAAGTATTAAAAATCTAAGTTTTTCACTTATTTCGATCGACTTACTTCACTATCCAGATATATTTCTTCTGTTGCAGTATTTTGTAAAATTAATTTTTGAGCTTAGGTGAATATTTATTAAGAACCTACTAATGATTTGTTGTAACACAAAAAAACTCACACGCTATGGCGTATTCGTGTGACAATCTATCATAAATGTTTGGAGTTTCTAAACGATACGATACAGTTCTAAATTTAATAGCTACCATTTGAAATGAAGCAAACAGACACGATCAATTTGCCAACCATATGACCCACAGGTATCTTCTATATAGGGTTTTGCCGTTTTGGTGCTTTTGAATAATCGGTTTTAATTATTATTATTATTATTTTTTTTTTTAATTTCATTTTGACACTTATATGTACCTATTTGCAAAACAATGATTTATAGTAATAGAATTACGTTATGAATTAAATAAATCTGGGAATAGTTTGTTGGAATGATTTTTGCTTGACGTGCTAAGTTTACAGTGTTTTAAATAGCTCAGCATGTTTACACGGAAAAAAATTCGCTAGGTAACATTAAATTGTTCTGTTGGCAGTACCAACCTTAAAAAGCTCTTTCGGTGAGAACAAAATTAGTTTGAAATTTTTATTCAGGTTTAATGCCTCTACTCGCTATCATAAAGTTGTGCAGTTGGAAGTAAAGATCCATTGTGATAAATCCAACAAAGTCCGGATCATTCAACACTGCACATCAAGTTATCAATAAATTTCATATTTTATTTCACATGTATTAATTATGGTTGTGCTCCTGCAGATTTTATTAGGGTTCCTCGATTATAAGATAACCACCGATACGCAGTATAGTTAAGACTATATGACTGAACCTTCTAATATAACGCATAACTATAACTTTGTCAGCTACAGCAACACTTACAGCGGATGCACGTATATAATGGTACTCCTTTCAAATGTGACAATTTTTAAGTGAAACTTATTTTGAGAGTGATAGTCATTGATAAATAGGCAATGGAAACTAATCTAACAAATAAACATAAATGCTCGGTTAAATAATGTAAACGCGAACGCATTCAACCTTTAAGTGAACCTTTCTGCAGACTCTATGCCAACTAATAAGACAATAAATAAAAATGAACATYTTAACCATGGCAAAATAGATAGGTACGTATGTCAATATGTCAGTTAAATACAAGTTTTCGTTCTGTTAATTGAAGGTAGGCCTTCCCGCCATGGTCATGGTTTGCCTCATTTCATTGACCGATAAATTACCCAGCAGACATAGTGGCGAGGGTGAAATGGCCGGCGAACACAATGCGTACCAAAAGTTGCTGACATACCTATCTAATTTGTCATGATCTTTACTACATTTAAAGCTCATATCCCAGCTTTTGAACGTCAAACAGACTGAGACAAACATTTTAGGACTTTCTAGATTAAAGCGGATGTGTTGAACAACTTTAGTACTTTGAAACCTAACAACTATTTAATTATAAATTTAAACTTTGTAGTTAATATGAGCAGAGTAGTCGACTATTCGTTAGCCTAGTGTGTAACTAATGCAATATTGTTAAATTTTATCAAAACTGAAATGAGGTTTTGCATCATTACCTAGTCATAATATTGTATCATTAATTAAACAGTGATCAATTAATTTTAATTATGTAATAATACAATCAGGGTAATGGTATATAGTATAGATACCTATATTAATATATTATGTATTGGATATTTTACCAATAGTAATATTATTTACTTTAAAAAATAAATAGTAGGGTTCAAACGAAATATATTAAATTTGCATGTTTTGAATAATATAGATGTAATAGATATAATACAGTGTTATATATTTTGTTTTCAGAAAACTTATTAAAATTCCATTCCAAAATTATTTCAAATTAATGCTACCACATGCTAGTAGATAATAATATCAGTAAAGAATTTTTCCTTTTAATTCAATATTTATAATAAAACGTATAGGAGTTTAAATACTTTTTCTATAATTTAGATATATATATATATATGAGTATAAATACCTCATGAAGTGGAATAGAAATCGATTGCGTATTTAAAACAAATTGTATCATACGATAAGAAGGATTTCGTAAACATTTTTCGATGCTTCATTTATTAAACTTTTCAATTAATATCATGATTTTTTTTTATCAATTTGATACCAGACATKGTTGAGAATCATCGAATTATTGGTTAATGAACAAACGCTCTGCTGTAATAAAAATTAATTAAATTATGAGGGGTGATAATAACGATGACGGACGAGAAAATTTTATATGGACTCATTAATATGGTATATTTATGTAATAGAGAAAAGTTGAGAAGTGTGGGGATTTTTTCCTATAGCACCTAATTAAGTTAAACAGGTTCGTTTTTTACATGTAGATGTCTTATAGCTGGAGTAATTCTATAAATTTGTATAACACCAAAAATGTTACCATTACTTCGTTGTGTGCGTCGGGAGCTCAAAATATTATTGTATTTTTCTGACCAATTTCACGTAATAGTTGCCATGACAACCAAACAATAATATAGTTAAGATTAAGTTAAGATTAAGATTAAGGCTGCCCTTAGCAACAGATGATTAATAATAATAGAATTACGATACCATAACAACTTCATTATACTTTTTAGATTCTAAGCGTATCTAACGATCATAATTCATAATTGAAAATTAAACTAATAACTTGTTATTTCCTATGTAAAATGAAGTCAGTAGCTACATGACATATACATGTATCTATGTATTTACATGGAAAGTGAATACTCTCTCTCCTTTTTTTTTTTAATTGTTATTAGGATCACACGTATAGACATTGTGTATTTTTAAATCTATATATATATATATATGGATTTCTGTTTGTCTGTCTATATGTCATTTATGCTTTCCTAAACTGCTGGACCGATTGTGACGAAATTTGTTACACAGATATATTAGATCAATGGGCAGAATATAGGCCAAGTTTAGTGGCTTATATTTTAAGGTTTTTTCGCCTATAGGGACTTTCCAATTCGCCGCCTTCCTCCCCCCTTTCATCAAGGCTACAATTTAATTTTCAAATTAATAACTACATCCAATAAAATTCTGTCTTTATTATAAGAAATCGAACCCGCATTGAATGCACGTGTTTTGTTATCTATGTGCTCGTACTGTGTTGCGTATGTGTATAATATTATAGTTGTAGATACTACATGTAGATAGATGATTAATTTTGAGTGAACAAAAATTAGTTGAGTTTGATATCATCAAATTAAAAATACTTTTTATAATTTTGTAAAAAAAAAAATCGTTGAAATTTGCTGACCTCTAGTGTTGCCGCTCTAGGCCCGAGCCTATAGGGCCTGTGCCCAATTACGCCTCTGCTGATGTATATATCTAAATTATAAGAAAAAGTTAATAAAAATGATAGGCCCAAATAATAAAATTATTATCAATAAATATCCTTCAATTGAATAGGTACTTGAATGGTCAGGCTTTTCTTGATAAAACGAACAAAATTACATAACGATAAACCAAATTGAATATCGTTATAGGATTATTACTTAATATATTATTTTAACCATCATCTAYCTATATTTATACAAATATAACTATTAGTATAATCACAGGATACGAATTTGGGCGCTATTTAATTGGCTCTCAATTTTGGGTAAATATGAATTCGACACTTGAATTTGCTCCTGAAAAATGTGTGTTTGAATTGGCTCCCTAAACTATAAAATATTATTATTTAACCAAGAGTTCTCATATTATAYACGTTTATACTTTTACGACGTCAGCCTACTATATAGCCTGACAATTTGCACTCAAATATAGTATAGCGCAGGATATACCTATATTATTATATTTATACCTATACAGTATACATATTTATTGAATTTAGTCTTATCGGCTTAATCTTTGTAATCTAACTACTCTAGTACACTAGGACATAATGTCTACCTAACTTTAAAATAAAAGACAAAGACAAAGTAAATGTGTTTGCTTCTCAATTGGCTGAAACACTTYAACATCATTCGTGCACCGATCCCGAAAACGATTCAATTATCGAAATTCAACGATTTCTAACAGCTCCCCTACCTATGTCTATACCTGCTAAACCCATTTCTCAAAGTGAAATTCAGTTTATAATTAAAAAACTACCCCCAGGCAAGGCACCTGGAAATTACCTCATTACAATTAATAAAATTATTAAAAATCTGTCTCTCAAAACTTTAACATAGCTCACCCACATATATAATTCTATGCTAAGATTATCTCACTTCCCAAAAATTTGGAAATTTGCAGTCATTATACTTGTACCCAAACCAAATAAACCTAAACACTTATATTCATCATACCGTCCCATAAGTTTACTCCCAGTTCTTAGTAAACTTTTTTGAAAAGGCCCTACTGAAAAGACTACGTCCCATCCTTCAAAACAATCAAATCATACCAAATAATCAGTTTGGATTTAGAAATAGGCACTCAACAATTCATCAAGTTCATCGTCTTACCGACGAAATCTCAACTGCTCTCGAAAACAAAGAATACTGTTCTGAACTTTTTTTAGATATTGCCCAAGCATTCGATAAAGTCTGGCACGACGGCTTACTATACAAATTAAAACTTTTCATGCCAGCTCCCTACTATCTTATTATAAAATCGTATTTACAAAATCGTTCGTTTGTCGTACGACAGGGTAACGATATCTCATCTACTCACTCAATTTATGCTGAAGTCCCGCATGGTAGTGATTTATCCCCTGATCTATATAATATATTCACAGCAGATATTCCTCAATCTTGCAACACCTTTCTTGCAACATACGCCGATGGCACAGCTATTCTTTCCTCTAGTTCAAATCCTATCCTAGCTTCAGCTGCAATCCAGGACCATGCTAATAAAATAGACGAATGGGCCAAAAAATGGAAAATCAAAATAAATACTGACAAATCTGTGCAAGTTGCTTTCACGTTAAAACAATCTCCCCGTGAATGCCCTCAATTAACCATGAACAACGCCCCCATCCCTGTCCAAACCGAAGTAAAGTACTTAGGCATAACACTCGATAAAAGACTTACCTGGGGCCCCCACCTAAAAGAAAAAAGAAAATCAGCGAACAATAGACTTCACCTCCTCCGACCACTCCTCAACTCCAAAACAAAATTATTATATATAAGTCAATCATAAGACCAGTCTGGTCTTATGGAACAGCAATCTGGGGCCCAGCCAAGCCCTCAAACATCAGGCCAATTTAGGCTTTTCAATCAATTGTGCTAAGGTTAGTAACCAAAGCGTCCAAAGCCCCCTAGTACGTTTCAAACTCTTCCTTACACAATGACTTAAAAATATTAACTACCACTGAACTAGCCAAAACAATGTATAAACGTTTCCACCTAAATTTAAGCACTCATAACAATACTTTAATATGAAATATGTCCTCCCTCACCCTCCCAAAAAAACCCATCACGCAGACTAAAGCGAAAATGGTGTAGAGACCTATTAAATTAGTAAAGGAGGTGTTACCATTGGGTTTCTTCCTCATCACGTCATTCATGCTACTTTATTCTGTTTTTATCTTATTTGCTTATTGTAATTATTGTGTACAGATTGTAAATTGTCTTTCTTAATAAAAAAAAAAAAAAAACTTTAAAATATTAACAACATTTTGGTAACCAATATATTTTTGAAAAAAAAATACTAGGGAACCAGTTCAATGGTAAATTTTCGGAAGCCAATTCAAAGGTACTTATTAAGGGTAAAATATTTACTACCTGGTTTGGGGAGCCAATTCAAATGCGCCGACGAATTTAACACACAGTTCTAGGCATATAAGAGGTAGGATTTTTAACGGGCTAYGATAGAGTGCGCAGGTTCAATTAGTTTTAAATAAATATTTCGTTAACAATCCGTTGTATAATTCTATTGTATATTCTCCTTATCATACAATAGCAGCTTCAGTGATTTAAGTAATTATTCAATTATGTCAACAAAATTATTATATAAAAAATATTTATTTGCTCATACCAATTTCAACGTGTTTAATTAATTATTACAACAGCTTACCTACATATAATGGTTTTCTTGACCATTGATTTGTTATAATATTTWAAAAAAAAATGATAATTACATTCCCCTTAAAATATACCATAACAATATAATAATGTCATCACAATGTTCCCAACGTGTTCCCAACATCGTGTCTCACTTCAAAAATTTAATTTCGGCTCTATGTTTTAATAGTCACGGGAACGCCTATTAAGTTCCCTTATTCTACAGTCGCTGTATCAAACTGGTCACGCGTCGAAACACACGGTAAAATCGCAGTTGATGCGATACTATCCTTAAAATTTTATGCGAACTAATACCTACTCATTTAATCGCTAAATAATAGATTTTTCGCATTAGTCATAATCATAAACCTAAGAATATCACTATACGATATTAATGTTATGTATCGTAGCCGTCAGTGGATGACCACGAGGGCGACTTGGACGAGAAGGGTCCTCACTATCTGCCCCGTCACGGTTTGTATTCTCATTTTATTTAAATATTACGTGAATATATAATATATATGTATAATAGGCAATAGATTATATTATAGGTATGTATTATAATTGCCTAGTARGTACTACATATTATACTATAAACGTATATGATATTATGTATTCTAAACGAATAAACTTTGCTCGTTCATTATTTTTAAAATATTTTTATTCATCTTGTATCAAATGCATATAATGATAATATAGTAATATTGTGACTTGGTGTGGCGTGGTTGAACACTTAACTGCGGAAAGCATATGAGTGTACGTACCAGCTGCCTGTGTTACTAACTACCGGATGGGTGAACACCTCRGGTTTTTAGTAACAAATCCTTGCCATAAATGAAAAAAACGTGTTCAAACCAACCATACCCTCCCTCACAGTTGAAAAATATACTATAAACAACCGCCTTATGGTCTATGTTTCTACGGGTTAATAAAATATGTTTATATATATGAAAAATAACTGATGAAGAAATTATATTGTGTAATTGTTTAAGCTGCATCATTTCACTTTGTTCAATAATACATTTTATCATGTTTATGCCTATGTATTTTAGTTTATAAAGAAATCATTATAATTTATTATAATAACTTTAATTATTTACGCGTTCATCATCGGAATAATATAGTATAACACATAATAAAATGAATGATATTCCCACACCAACTGATGACGTCATGAAGTATGAGAAAAATTACGTGTATGATGCCACTTAATATTTTTTYCTTGATTATGTTTTTGAGGATAGGGGCATTTGAACTTTGTCTATGAACAATTTTATTTTATTTTATATAACAATTTATGCGCTTTGTAGACATTTTTCAAGCTGTATAAATTTTTATATCGATATCAATATTATCACAACAATTTGTATTTTGTATATTATTCTGCATTCTTAAAAAATGTGTTTAATTGTGAGTGATGTGKTGCCACATGTTTGGCATATAACATTTATTGTTTATTATAAGCTCATATTTTTTTGGTATTTTAGTATACTTATGATAATATATAATACAGTGGTATCGAACCCTATGGTTATATACATATTTTGAAAATATAGAATAAGGCCGCTTCATATTAACTACTTTCCTCTCCACGGAATACGTCACTTTTGCTGATATTAAGATATTGCAGGGCCTCTTGAAATATTTTTCACCCCACTAGATTTTTAGGACTTCGGCGTCACTGATAGATATGATACAATGATAAATGTTTTATAGGTACGATAGCATTGTGTATATTATTTAAAATTCAAACCGATACATAATAATAAGTAGGGTTACGACGACACATAGGTATAAGAGCTAATATTTATGTAAACGTATATTTAGTGTAACAACTTAGTGTCGACTCATTAGGCGGTATTTGTTAAAGAAAATGAAGAAAGTTCCAATCGTTCTAGCGTTAATTGTTAGCGTATCATGTGAACTTATTCAACATAAAGAAAATGAATTGTATTCAGGTAAAACAATAGAGTCGATAATATTTTATACCTTAATCAACATGATACATATAAATTATAAACAATAAATATTATAATATATTTGTATGCCTATTTCTTACACAGATTCGTACAGTAATCCGGGAATTTTGTATGAAGAGACACACAATCACTTAAATGACGAACTCAGTTTAGATAAAAATCCTTTTAAGATACCGTAAATACAAATAATATACAAATATATACCTGCAGGTAGTATTTTTGGATTTAAATAATTTATATATTATTTGTTTTATAGATCACTAATGAAGAATCCTATCGGACTCTTGGATAACCGAGAAATTGATCTGGCTGATCGATGTTTTCCTAAGCCAATATGTGATCCACTAACTAAGTATAGAACCATAAACGGTAGTTGTAATAATTTAATATTTCCAATTTGGGGACAATCGAATTCAGCAAACACACGAATTATTCAAGCTGATTATTCGGATGGTATATAATATATTATCGAATATCTATTCCTATTTATTATAAATATTTTATATTTAATTGCTACTATATTATTATAATGGATGGTGCTTAATGAAAATGATATTATTTTTATCTTAATGTAATAATATTACTATTAATTACAATAATTTAAGGTAAGAGCAAAGAAAGAAAATCAATATCGGGAAAGAAATTGCCCAACCCAAGGAAAATACGAACAACTTTGTTCCCAGACTTGAATAGACCTACGATGAAGTATAATTTATTGTTCATGCAATTTGGTCAAGTAACTGCACACGATACTGAATTAATATTTTCTAAATCAGTAGGTAAGTTTGTAGAAATATTATACATTCTATAAATATTCTAAGATGTAACTTAATATTATTGTAATATGTATATATTGTACACCCCGCACTTACAAAAAAAAATTATACATTTAGGTATGTTGGTAATAAAAAAAATAATCTCATATCTATGTTAATTTTTTTTAAATTTGGTAATTTTAAAATTGTAAAAGTCTTGTAATAGGTTTCACTCAATAGTAAAATATTATTTTTAATATATACCATACTATTATCTCAAATATAGTTTACATATTAACCCTCAATCATAGATAAGATATAGTTACCTACAATCAGTGGCGTATCCAGGGGGCCACAGGACCCCCCCCCCTCATTGTCTGTACTTGATATCTATTATTTTAAAGATTTATATTTAATTCGTATACATGGATGCATACTAAAATATGTCTTAAACATAGTATGCATATGCACCAAGAACATTGCAACTCGCAGATTGGTCAAAATAATTTTATAAAATTCTTACTATTTTATATTTTTATACCCTTATAATTTTTTTTGGACTAAAACGTCCGTTTTTAATTATTAAATTACTGATTAACTGGTTAAAAATATAAATATATTATTTGTATAAAAAAATATTAAAGTGTTGGTTGATTTACTTTTTTTCTTTTTATTAGCAGGTAGTAGTATATGGAAACATTTTAGAAAATGTGTAACCCCCCTCCCATCCCTAAAAAAGATACGTCACAGCTTAAAATTGCATGGTCTAATAATAAAGGAACTCAATTATTATAAATTCATATGATTAATTTAATATTTTTTAAATTTTATTTTGCTTGATTAATTTAAAATTTTAGTGTAGATTTCATATTACTCAATTAAAATTTAATTCAGCTCATGATACTCAAGATTCATGCTCAAGATTTTTTATATTGTATGAAGTTAATATTCANTTTTTAATGTTCCTACCTACTCTTTTAATTTGAATATTAACTTCATACAATATAAAAAATCTTGAGCATGAATCTTGAGTATCATGAGCTGAATTAAATTTTAATTGAGTAATATGAAATCTACACTAAAATTTTAAATTAATCAAGCAAAATAAAATTTAAAAAATGATGAAGGGAAAAATATAGATTTGAATTTGTAAAATCAGTATCAAATTATAATAAAAAGTAATTGAAATTTCGTGTAATAAAAAAACCAATCTTTACACAGATTACACAAATAGTATTTATTTACCTATTTATAAGAAAAAAAAACTGTTTTTATGATATTTATAATTTTATTRATTTTATTAATCTTATATCATATCATATTAAATTCGTGAAATCTGCGTATGATATTATTAAAAAATAATTATTTTTCTATAAATTAGAAAAATAATAATAATCAGTTAGTAAACGACAAACGTTATACTATATTCCTATATTTTATCCTATACATGTATGGCCTAATCTCTTGGTAGTAAAATGGCAATTACAGACCGCTCATTATTACTGAAACATTCAGGATAAAAAACCGATACCCTTATTTAAAAATGTTTAAGTCTAAAGCAAATTATCGATATTTAAGAAGCTATACGCCTTAATTTTTAATAGCTTTGATAAAATTAATTAGATACATTTATACTTATATTAGCAACAATTATACTGGAATTGGTTATAATAACTAATAATAGAAATATAGTTGTTATTTTTTAAATTACTAAATCATAAATTGTTATAATTTCATAATATACAGCAATGATATTAAAACAAGAACTATCTTATCTGATTTTTTTGAACCGAATTCAATCATAAAGGTTCCAATCCCTGATTAAATTTGATTGATTTGTTGATAATTTATTTTATATAGAATTAAATCGTAATAATAAATTAATAATTTAAAGTCTTATTACAAAAGGTAATGATGGTAATCCAATATTATGTTGCAATCCTGATGGCTCTACGCCGGAAATTCTACCACAAGATTGCCTTCAGATTACAATCCCGAAAGATGAGAATGGTTATTCAAAAAAACGATGTTTATCATCTCAGCGAGCCACTGATACAGCCGACCTAGGTTGCAATATAAAACCAGTTAGACAAGTAATAACCATACACCCTCTTATCTCATCTAAGCCCTTATTCCGTCTATAATTATTTTAATCATARCCCAAAAAAGTGATAATCAAAAAAGAATTAAATGTGTTTCATGAATTTTATTATTTTTTTAGCAAATTGGAGTTACCAGTTTTATGGATGCTTCATTATTATATGGTTCAGATGAAAAAACCGCCCGTTCCTTAAGGACATTCTCTCATGGAAAACTCAGAAGACAAATAGGGCCTAAAGGAAAATCATATTTGCCTAATGTTAAACAAGCTACAAAAGAATGCACCGTGTCTAACGATATGACTGTGTGCTATGCTGCCGGTAATTTATACAATTTATGTGGTTTAATACACATTAGCACTTTATTATGATAGGGATTTCATGTTATCTTCATAATAAATTTATGAAAAATAAAATTATTATTAAATGATTTCACTTAAACTTAAATGAACCTAGTTGTTCTTTTTCTGCAGAAACAGCAGCAGCATCAGCAAATAAGTACAAGGACCCGTCCATAACTATGGTATTGTTGCCGTTGTTTCCAAACGGTTTTACCGCCGTGGTTTATTCGTTATCATCTAAATAACAGTCGTTCTTAAATCGACTGCATACCTACTACGCGATTTTACCACGTCAACCACAAAGTTTGACTTAGTTGATTAAAAACAGCTGTTTAGAGGTTTAGACGGTAACGTAAAAAACCGCGACAGTAAACCGTTTGGGTTCAATGGCAAAAAAACCGCTGTGTTGACGGGCCCATACATTTAAAAAAAATGTCATAAGCTTCAACCAAAATTACTACAACGTATTAATATTAACGTAGTATTATACTTATTTTTTTTAAATAGTTAAGTAATGACTTTAGTTCCAGTTTAATATGTTTTAATTTTTAGTTGTAACTAAACTGTCTAAACTACTTAAATAAATATCTTTATTACTAAAACATACATCGTAATACATTATAATCTAATCAAATACATTAATAATAATTTAACATTTAAAATACATTCATTTAAGGTGATTTAAGAGTAAACCAACATCCAAATATAGCAGTTTCGACGATATCATTATTGAGAATTCATAACAAGCTATGCGATGAATTTGTTAAAATAAATCCCGAATGGAAGGACGAGCGAATATACCAAGAAGCCAGGAGATTACTCATCGCGATGTATCAACACGTGGTATACTATGAATTCGTTCCAAGACTTGTAGGTACCTATGTCATTAATCATAATAAGAATTTAATATATACTTATATCTATATGTCACATCCATTTAATGAAGCGGACATTAACTTCATGAAATGTATCCATTTAGTGATAATGACGTTTTACTACACTATGTGGACAATTTTTTGAACTTTTCATGAATTTCCATTCATAAAATTAACCAAGTGGATACGACAAATACATTGCACTGTTACTGGAAATTACCTAAATATAATTATAGCGCGATGTGTACTTTTCCTGGAAATTTATTATTTACTGGCTACTACCTTATTATATACTACCAAGACCCTCTTATTTCTTAAACCTTATCATTCATTTTATAGTTGAATGAATACGGGTGAAAATTGACGAAATAATATTGGAAGTTAAATAAAAGTTTATATTGTATTATTTAAGCTTTATAAAGTATCTACCTACAGAAAAATTGAACAAAGTAGAAATACTATTGTTCAATTTTTCCGTATTATTATATACAATAGTATATAGTAATACTATATTAACTATTATATTTCTTGTTCTGGGCAACAATACGTCAAGTACGATCATGTATATGTATCAAGTTATAATAATTTGATTATTTTTTTCGAACAGCTTTTGTTCAAGCAAAATCTTCGATTATTTCGTCTTAACCAATCTTTTAAAATGTCCTTCAATGCTTATTATATTCAAAAAATTTAAATGAAATGATCAAAATTCATGGATGATAATATAAGATAGTATAATTTAGTCATTTTAAAAGTACCGATAAGCCGAAATATTTTGTGAAGGTCGACAAAAAACATACGTTATACAATATTAAAGTATACCTATGGCTAAATATCAAAAAATTGTTATCATTCAGTCATATATCATTATCTAACTTAAATTTAGCTCAGATTTCGTAGATACATTTTTGAGTTTCAAAAATCATGGAAATGAGTTCAGTCACTCATAATCCAGATTCTCAGCATATTGATTTCGTAACTGCCTTTTTTTTTTTGTTCCTGGTTAACCAGAGCTACAAAAATTGTTCTACTGGTTCACATTTATTCGCCATATAACTATACACGATACACCATCACTGTCCATATTTATAAACAACATTATGTMATAAATTATAGGTGCAATAACGATGTCTGTTGACATTTTTTGTTGGCAAATTCTGCCCCCTTCACAACTGTATAGAATTTAACTATTTAAGTACTAATAAGTATCCATAAAACAAGCAAAGTATCACATTTCTTGTAAAATCTACAAGTCACAGCATCTATAAATTTAAATACCTAATATTTCCAAAATATTTCATTAACGGTTTAAAAATGTTATTAATTAATAATTTTAATATGAATTGTATGTGACAATAATATTATTAAAACGTTTATAAAATATTTCAAAATCATAATAATTTCCTGAAAACTTTTTWGTAGGTACTATGCCTAGTGTAATTATATGTATTATAGTATATATTTATACCAATACATTTTAAATAATATCATGATGTATTTAAATTTAATAAAATTATAGGAAAAGATTATGCCAAAGCAAACAAATTACTACCATTAGAAAAAGGTTATAATATGGATTACGATGAATTTTTAAATCCAACTACAATAACCAGTTTTACTGGAGCTGCATACAGATCACTTCATAGTGAAATACAGGGATATATGGAGTAATGATGATGATATAAAGACTATGTTTTTTATACTTATTTGAATATGCTGTACCAATTGTATGATCAATTTTTTACAGTTTGATCAATGAAGCCAGAAAAGTGACGTCAAAAATTCGCCTGAGTGATTTTTTTCTAAGAACTGATATAGTCCAGAGAGGAGACAATTATGATAGTTTTACTAGGGGTTTGCTTAGTCAGATATCACAGGAACAAGATCAATATTTCACAAGTGAAGTATGRTTATTGTTTTATTTATTATTTAGCCTTCCTAAAGAAATCAATTTCACGTCTTCACATTTAGAAAATATAAATAGGATTACTGTTTATTATATTTTATTAATTTAGGTTAGTGAATACTTATTCAGGGTACCGAATAAAACAGAAGGCTTCGACTTACCCAGCTTTGACATCGCACGTGGTAGAGATTTTGGAGAACCATCGTATAATAAATTTAGGCAATTGTGTGGGTTGAGCGAAGCCAAGACTTTTGACGATTTTACGGATCAAATATCCAAAAAAGTAAATACATCAAAGAATTTTATGCATTACACATTGTGTATCTAACAATTACAGTTGGAAGTTGGAACTCTGAGATTACAACTATTCGAGCTATACAATTAATTATTAATAAAAACATATTTTTAAAGAATGTTGATACTCTAGCCAGCTTGTACGAGGATCCAAATGATGTYGACTTTTACGTGGGTGGTTTGTTAGAAAAACAGAAACCTGGATCTTTATTGGGCCACACATTTCAGTGTATTTCTGGAGAAATGTTTTTCAGATGGAAGTTTGGCGATAGATTTTTTTACGAATTTGGCAACCAAACGGGATCTTTTCGTCCGGGTAACGAATGCCACTTTCATTAGTTATCTATTAGGTTTAAACCTTGATTAAATTTTATTAACACGCCGTATATGAAATTGTTTAAAAAGATCAACTTGATGAAATACGAAAATCAACATTATCGCTCTTTATCTGCATGTCATCAGATATTCAATCTATACAACGTGATGCATTTGATGTACTCAGTAAACAGTGAGTTTTCTATTTTATACAATACATTACATATAACCTATATAGATGTATAATATAGTATATTATTGAGTATTGACACTAAAGATAAAGCGTATAAAAATTATCAATTTATCAGAAATTTATCGTGCTACTTGCTGGGTGTGTTTTTTTCTCAACRATGTTGTATAAAGTCCAATCTAGAGATTTTTAGATTATAATATATTATATTAAAGAAAATATAAAATATAGTTATACAAGTACTTTGTGATTTTCTTATGTCAATTACAAAATGGTATTCCCTGATTACCTTACTAAGGTTTAATATTTAAAATCATTTAACAAAATATCATTAATGTAAGAAATARAGACTAGACTAATTTAATTATACAAGAATTCTACCAAATCTATATATTAATAAAAAAAATATTAAGCAACTATTTTCCTTATACRTGTGTAACTAACTAACTACCGGCTTTTAAGACAAGAACAAAAGAAAATTGTTAAAAATAGGATAAGTACAAACATAAAAAAAAAGAAAAATATTATATTCACTAAATGATAAATTTCAGATAGGTAGAAGATATTATAAACGCAGGAGTTTRCATTTGTAGCAACTTGCCTGTTTTATGAATAAATATCAGTTGATGAATAGTAGAATGTATGTTTATTTTAAAATATAATAATGGTGATAATAATAATATAGCAGTTTAAAACAAAATTATATATAACAAAATAAACTTMATTAATGATAATTTTATACCAGTGGACAGTACACAAAGACAAATAGGTAGTAACGCGTGTACCATATAACACAGAAATCACCCTAAAGTTAGAAAGAAATATAAATAGGTAGACAAGTGGTTGAATAATTTATTGAAGGAACGATATTTACCACAATTATATAGTGACGTAGACAGAGGGTGGCTAAATAGTTAAAGCGTGACAGTCGTCAAAGGAACGACAAGATCATGTTGAAGAGAAAATGATTAAAGCAACGAACAGAGCAGAATAGAAAAGAATAAGAAAAGATGCATTTTTACGTTTTTAACGAACAAAACATGAACAAATTAGAATTGTGTGCTAATACTGCTAATAGTTGAATCAGTTGATATTGTAATAGCTAGAACAGATAGTTTAGATAGTTATACTTAATTTAAAGTAATTAATAAGATATTTAATTACTATTTATCTAGTTTCAATTATTTTTGATCGAAAATATATAAAGTACCTTAATTAAGAACATTAAAAAGTAAAGCTAGTAAAGGTTTATATAGCAGGGATCGAAACCGTTTCATATTTTAACGGTTTCGGTTTCGGTTTTTG